CCCCTTCATTTCCCTCCCTTTCTCTTGCTCTTTTTCCTCTTTCTTCTTTCTTATCACAAATATTTTTCATTTTACTCCCCCTTTAACTCCCATTTTTCGCTTTGTTCCCGCCCTAATTTTCCCTTGTTCCTTTTCTCCCTCTTCTCTTTCCCTTCTTTTTTTTTTTCCTCTCTCTGCTCCTTTTTCCTTTTTTCTTTATTCTTCTTATTTTTTTTTCCTCCCCTGCCTGCAGCAAATCACTCCCTTAGAAAAAAACAGCTTTTCTTTTGAGCACAAAACTGCTCTAAAATTGCCGAAGGAATTTGCGGGACGCAGGCGAGTCATTACCCCCCGGCAATTTTCCTGGCGACCCCCAGGAAATTGGGATTTCACGGACACGGGGCCCAGCCCGACCCTCAACGAGGTCTCGGCGACACTTTGGAGCTGTTCCCACGTCGGAGGATTGAAGGAGGAGCTGAGCTGAGGAGAAAAAAAGAGAATTTTCCAGCCGTCCTCAGGCAGAGAAACCCGAGCCGGGGCTTTCCAGCCAGCAATTCCTTCCCAATATCCCATCTATCCCTGTCCTCTGGCACTGGGAAGCCATTTCCTGTGTCCTGTCCCTCCATCCCTTGTCCCAAATCCCTCTCCAGCTCCCCTGGAGCCCTTTTAGATCCTGGAATGGACTCCAAGGTTTCCCTGGAACCTTCTCCAGGGGAACATTCCCAGCTCTCCCAGCCTGGCTCCAGAGTAGAGGGATCCAGAATTATGGAATCCCAGGATTGTCTGGGTGAGAAGGGACCTTAAAAACCTCCAGCGTCACCCCTGCCATGGGCAGGGACACCTTCCACTAGCCCAGGTTGCTCCATCCTGGCCTTGGACACTCCCAGGGATCCAGGGGCAGCCACAGCTTCTCTGGGAAATCCATTCCAACCCCTCCCCACCCTCCCAGCCAAGAATTCCTTCCAATATCCCATCTCTCCCTGCCCTCTGGCACTGGGAAGCCATTCCCTGTGTCCTGTCCCTCCACCTCTTGTCCCAAATCCCTCTCCAGCTCTCCTGGAGCCCCTTTAGGCCCTGCAAGGGGCTCCGAGGACTCTGTGGCCCCATTTGGAACTGGAATTTGGGGCTGGGCTGTGCCAGGAGCATCCAGAGCTTTGTTTTTCCTCCTGGATCCAGCATTTCTCTTGGCTTGGGATAGTTGAGCTGGAGAGAGACCTGGAAGCACAGGGGATGGAGCTCAAACTTCCTAATTTCTTGGAATCATGGAATGGTTTGGGTTGTAAGGGACCTTAAAGCCCATCCCCTTCCAAACCCAGGGACACCTCCCACTATCCCAAGTTGCTCCAATCTGCCTTTGGACACTTCCAGGGATCCAGGGGCAGCCACAACTTCTCTGGGAAATCCATTCCAGCCCCTCCCCACCCTCCCAGCCAGCAATTCCTTCCCAATATCCCATCTATCCCTGCCCTCTGGCACTGGGAAGCCATTCCCTGTGTCCTGTCCCTCCATCCCTTGTCCCAAATCCTTCTCCAGCTCTCCTGGAACCCCTTTAGGCCCTGCAATGGACTCCAAGATTTCTGTGGAGCCTTCCCTTCTCCAGGTGAACATTCCCAGCCTGATCCAGCTCCGGATGGATGGGAACATCCCCGTAGTCTCATCCCATGGGATCTCTGAGCCCCCCCGGATCAACCTGGAGATGTTTCTCTTATCCCAAAAACCCCCAAAGAACCCTGGATGGGTCTTCCCTGTTCCTCTCTTTTATTCCTCTTTCCTCTTTTTCCCACCCTCATCCTCCTTCAGGAATTTCAGTTTTCCTCGGATCGATCCCAATTCCCTTTTCCCCCCCTTTATGTGTTTGGAATAGATTTGTTTTATTTATATTATTATTATTTATATTATTCCTCTGTATTTCTGTCCGTGAGTCACAAACTTTGTGGAATTGTCCTCTGGTCAGTTTTAAAATCCAGGAAAAATATTATTTTAAATAAACTTGTCTTAATGTCTTCTTATAAATTAATATTAATATCGATTTAATGTTATTTTTAATATCAGTAATAAATATACTTTCTTTTTATTTTTATCATTTTCATATATTATTATTTTATATATTATATTATTAATATATTAATGTATATTTATATATTTATTATTATTTTATACATTTCATACCCTGTTCATATTAATTAATACTGTTTAATATTAGTAATAAATATCCTTTCTATAGATAAATTTTTCTATATTTACTTCTCTTTAGAGAATGGATAAATTCAACTACATCAACAGACATAAATAAAAATGTAAATTAAATAAATTGGTTCTGATGTTAATGGTGTTCATATTAATTATTATTTATATCAATATAATGTTAATATTGTTGAATATTAGTAAGAAATATCCTTTCATATTATTTTTATTATTAATATATGTTATTACTTTATATATTATATATATTAAGATATATTATTATTTTAGAGATTTCATATCCTGTTCATATTAATTAATATTAATATCAATTTAATAATGTTAATATTGTTTAATATTAGTAACAAATATTCTTTTTGTAGATAAATTTTTCTATATTTATTTCTCTTTAGAGAACGGATAAATTTAAATACATAAATAGACATAAATAAAATATTGATTTAAACCAATTTAAAGAAATTGGTTCTAATGATAATGGTGTTCATATTAATAATAATAATATCAATTTAATATATAATATTGTTTAATATTAGTAATAAATATTTCTATTTAGAGAACGAAGAAATTTAATACACAAACACAAATAAATAAAATATTAATTTAATTAATTTAAATAAATCGGTTCTAATATTAATGGTGTTCATATTAATTAATATCGATATCGATTGAATGTTAATATTGTTTAATTACACACAGAGAAAAATCTAATAATTACTTAGTAACTATTAATAATAATTATTAGATAATTCATTTAAACAATGCTAATATTAAATAATTTTGATGTCAATTAATATAATTTAATATTTTACTATTTAATATTAATTAATATTCTTATTTAAACATTAATTAACATTTTAATATTATTTAAATATTAATTACTATTTTAATATTATTTAATATTTTCCTCTTCTCACAGGAAAACTGGGATTCAGGGAACGGCTCCGCATTCCCGAGGCGCATCCGGACCAGGAGATCTCCCGAGGAACACACGGAAAAAATCCCATTTCCCAATCCTGTGGAAAATCCAGGAGGAACCAACGCCCCTTTCCCGGCGGCTCCGTCCCTGATCCATCCTCCCGGAGCTCCGGGAGCTCGGAAATTCCCAACGGGATCCACGGTGAGAGTCAGGATGAACCGGAAATGTGGGAGTGTGAAAATTAGGGATAAATATTCCCAAATAAAACCCCGGAAATCCATCTTTTTTTTTTTTTTACGGCAGATCCCTCGGGATCTTCTCCTCGGAAAAGCAAAGTTGATCCAGGAAGGAATAAAAAAAATCCAGGGATAATAACTGGGAGGGCATTTTGTACCCTGAGATATTTGGAGTCGGAATCAGGAAATTTGGGGTCGGAATCAGGAAATTTGGAGTCGGAATCAGGAAATTTGGGGTCGGAATCAGGAAATTTGGG